AGCTAAAGCACAGTACTGTGAGTCACTCACTGATCGTGATATACTAGAGCAGTGGTTCTCAACTTAGAGTGACTTTGCCCCTCCCACGAGATTTGGCAACATTTAGAGATGGATGTGGGGATACCACGGGCACCAAACATCCTGCACTGTGTAGGACAGCCCCTCCCAACAGAAAGATCTGGTCCAACAGGTTGCAGTTGAGAAACCCTAGACTCAAGAATCAAACTAACATCGCCATTATTCCTCTTGGCATATATGAAAATAACTTTGATTCATATCATCTGAAAATCAGAAACAAGGAGAGTTCCTGAAGACGAAAACAGATATTATGCTTCCTTTTGATGCTTCCTCTGATACTGATTTTTGCAAGTAAGACCTGAAGGTGACCCTCACAGGAGCCCTGGTTTAATCCATCAACGGTAAAGCTTTATACACAGATGTGCAAACATTGTCATCGGGACATGTTCAAGCCGATCTTCAGGAAAGACAGGCATGACTGAAAACTCAAACAGGACTCCAGGTAGGTAGTGTTTTCTGAGTTGTAAATCACTGATGATTTTAAGATGCACCATCAATTAAATTACAGCTTTTGGGAATGTGGCAAAGAATTACTTCCACTTATATGTGTACCTTGACTATAAAATGTGAACCTTTTTTAGAGATAGTAAATATGCAAAATCTGTAAAGTACATGAAGTGTTATAAGAAGATATACTAAGCTCTTTTTTTTTTTTTTGTAAAAAGAAATAAGAAGACTCTCCCTTAGATCCTTCTCAATCAGTTAGTCTTAGTTATTTTCACTTGTTTTACACTGTCCCCTCAACCTTCCACCACCACTCCAGGAAGAGGTGGGAAGAGGCTGGGTAGGTAGCAGTACCACTGGGTCCTCAGAAAGAAGTGCAAACTAATACAAATCTTGCAGGTTCCCTCTATTTTCCTCTCTTGGAATTTCCCCAAAGTCTTTGACCATGAATTGAGTACTGTGAAGAACACCTGTGCTGAACATGGTCCTAGCCCTGAGCATATAACTTTATTTAATTAAACAAAGAAATAAATACACTTAGCCCTGGCTGGTATGGCTCAGTTGGTTGGACATTGTCCCACGCACCAAAAGTTTGCTGGTTTGATTCCCAGTCAGGGCACATGCCCGGGTTGCAGGCTCAATCCCCTGGTAGGGGTTGTGCAGGAGGCAAGTGATCCATGTTCTGCTCTCACATGGATGTTTCTTTCTCCCCCCACTCTCTAAAAAATCAATAAAAATATGTTCAAAGAAAAAAAGAGAAAGAAACATACATAAATGCAATACAATACTTGAAATTATTATTATTGTTATTTTTTATCCTCACTCAAGGATATTTTTCAATATTTTGTTCAGATAGAGTGGGAGGGAGAGAAAGAGAGAAACATCGATGTGAAAGGGACACATCGAGTGGTTGCCACCTGCACGATGCAACCAGGGCCGGGGACAAACTGCAACCGAGGTACATGCCCGTAGCAGGAACCGAACCCGGTTCTCTCCAGACCGCAGGCCGACGCTCTAACCGCTGAGCCAAACTGGCCAGGGCCTTGAAATTATGTTTTAGATTCCAGCTAATAACCAACCCACAACACTTACCCATAAACAAAAACTTACTACCTATATATTTGCTTATTGATATATTAGCTGCTTGTTCCACTAGAAATAAAGATCCAGAGATTTTTGGACAGAGATTTTGTCTTATGTTTAAATGAGTTAATTAATTATTAAATCTCCCACAGAGCAGTCATTATACAAGTGCAGATTTTTTTACTTTCACACTCAGGAGGCGGTGGGACTCGTTCATGTTATTAACCATACATGTCCATGCGTTCATTCTCTACTAGGGCTTCCGTGCTCTGCCCCGCCCCTTTCCAGCTTTGCCTCCCATCAGCCTCACTGCCCTCCAGCTACGCGGGCCTTGGTTCCGTCCTCAGGAAGCTCCCTGCTCTCTTCTCGGAGCCTCTGCCCAGAACACTCTCCTCTCCTTCCCCACCCCTTCAGATTTCGTCAGGAAGGCTTCCCTGATCACCACTTAAACTAGGTGTAGTGCCTGTGTTTTATAGTTTCATAGTTTCTCGTGTTTGCTTTGGTTTGGTTTTTATCACAGTACTTATCATATTTATAAAATACATTGTGTAATTATTTGATCAATATCTCTCCCGACCCCATACCACTCAACTGTAGGCAAGACCCATGCCTGCCTTGTTTCCATTACTATCTCCACCATCTAGCACAGTGCCTGTCAAGTAGCAAGCACTTAACCAATATTTACTGAATGAATAAATAAATTGTGTTTCTAGGAGCATAATCTGTTACCAAATGAATGAGTCCATGTTCTGCTGTATTCTTCTTCTTTGGGCTCAAGTTAGATACTTAATCAATACTTTCTGGTTAATTGAAATCATCATTTATCTACTGCAAACTGCATTCTCTGAAATCTCTGACACTGAAAGTACTTGTTGCAAAATTGCTGAGAAATCAACTGCTTTTTATTCTTTTTTCTACAAACTAATAAAAAAAGTTTGTTTTTTATTTCACATAATTTATTAGCTGTTTTGTCATTAAGAACATAACCAGGTAGAAAATGATGGTCAGGAAATCAATTATTTGGATAATGAGTATTTGTTTCTATGTCTGTATTTGAAAACATCTGGAAGCATATTTTAATTATCCTCTAGATAGTTGGTGTCTGTGCTCTCGGCCTCTGAGATAATCCCTCCCCATTACTGTTCCTGAATGAAAGATACTCTGTTGACAAAATAGGTGTTTTGGATAGAGGGGAATTTATGGAACATTGAAAATAAAGAGTAGTAAATTCCTAGGTTAAGATGATTAAAATAGTATTTTTTAAAGAGGAGGAGCAAGAAAGAGGTCTTTAACTGTAGAAAATATAATTTCATATAATATCATGTAACTAAGAAGCTAGTCACATGGGAAGCCTTGAGGACGAGTATGGAATTCTTGGGGATCCAGACAAAATGATTCTAGACTAGGGAGCTAAAGAGAAATACCTAGACAACAGGAAATCGGAAATAATTGGAAACCTGAAATGCGTTTATACACTTCACTTTAAAATCATTTCTTCATATACATGTCCCCTACCTATTGCTCTCAGGATCTCTGTTGCTAGGCCATTTTTATTCGAGTATGTGGAACTCTGAAGTTCCAGAAATCCCAGGGAACTGGAGCAGAATTTTCGAATTTAGGTCACCGTCTTGGAGAGCCCCAGTGGGAAGTTTAGCCCCCGAGAACAAGGTCACCCTCATGCTGCCGTGCTTGCTCCTTTCACGCACCAACGGCCGGCGAACGGGGAGAGACTCATACACCGCCTTGGAGCTTTCCTGCCAATTTCTCGTCCAAATTGTCCTCCTTCGAGTCTGGCAGGTGCCTCGAATCTGCAGCACGAAGTCCTGCAGCCTCTCCTTGTTCCATATGAACCAGAGATGAAGGAGAGCTTATTTGGGGCTCACCAGAGAAGGGATCTCCAGGGAGGAATCACCTACCCCCAAGACCACAGACACAGAAGAGAGACCTGGATGCTGGAGGAGGAGCAGCAATGACCAGAGGCCAGCAGCAGACACGCTGATTCTCTCCACCTCCAGGTCAAGGGGAAAGGTTCTTATGTGGAATTACACTCATGCTTCACTGTCTTTCAGCATTTTTTTATTATTATTCTTTAAATTGATGTTAGAAAGATCCAAGGAACTAATGCAATGGCTACCATCATATTTAGGGTTGCGATATCCATGCTTCATTCAACCAGAGTATTACAGGAAGAAACAGCCCTCAGGCTGCCTGATCCCTACCCATTGAAATGCACAGTTCTATTGTGGCCTCCAGGAGAAATGCATTGGGATTGAGATTTACTTCTCAATGTCAGGAGGAGAGAAGAAACAAGCACAAAACTTCAGATTTTGCTTAGCATCACTTAAAATATTTCTTTACTGTTCTACAGATGTCATTAAGAGGACTGGCCTACCAAATTTGGAATCGAGACTTTGCACTTTCACTTTCCCGTGACCTTGAGATGAGCCATGTTGCTCATCTGATACTACTTAGTACACCGGAGACGTGATGGGGATAAAGGAAGTGGGATGAGTCAGGTACATTTACTCCCTCCCCTGAATTATCAGTAAAATGCAAAAGGTTTGGTTCTTGTCCGCATTTATTTTATTTTTGTCATTTGCTCCTCATATAAAACTACTTGGCCAAGTAAATATTAGATTAATAGTCATGCCTTGTCCACAAACAGCCACGGAAGTATTGCCAGGGCCTAAGCCGTATGACCTTGCTTACAGATCTTGGCTGGCTCTCATCTGGGACCACAAGCATATTTTGAAAAATAGCCACAAAATTCATGTACCAGATTTCCCTTTCCCAAAAGCCAATTTCCTAAATATTCAATGAGATGGCTTTTGAGACCCACATCAACACCTTAGGAAACTAATATGTTCCTGTCTTAACAGGAAGTTCACTATTGTGGTTGCTGCTGTCCTAATTGCACTGTAGTAGAATTTCAGGCGACTCTTCTCTGAACGAGAAAACATCCCCTCTCCGTGCGGCCAGCAGCCCCTGCAGTGCTCCACCCGAACGCAGACGGGAGGCGAGGACGCCACACACGCTGCCTTTTCTCCCAGGAAGCAGGACAGGCTTTACCTCATCATCTGCTATCTTGTTTTGTTCTGTAAGTAAATTTCTTCTACTTACGTAAGGTTTCTAATATCATCAGAGTCACCATAGAAGAGAACAGAATTTTTTAAAAATTTAGCATGGGAATATAGTGTTCTCTTCAGTAACATGAATTTGTCAAGAGCTAGAAATGGAAATGGATGCCGCATGACAAAGCTTTACTAATATATATAAACTAGCATTTTCTGTTTACCGAAGACCAAGACATATAAACACACAACAACTTAACTAGGATGCAATAATGGACACAATTTAAAACTCAGGCACTCAGAAAGATTAAAAAAGTAACTCACAGTGTGCAGTCAGGCGGAGTGCCGGGTCCCAGAGCCTTCCCGGTATCACAGCAGAAGTCTGTCACCAGCAGTTCTATGGCCCTGCAACTGAGAGCACTCATAATTAATGAATATTTCACTTGAAGAGTTGACAGCTCAGTACAGCAGTTTATGTAAGGCTGTTACTTTTCATTCTTCTGTAGTTGCCTTTGCAAACAGGAAACAGGAAACACACCTACAAGAACACTGACATAGTTCAGCCTAATTGGTCTATGTGGCTCAAAGTAGTCAGGGGTGAGTCTTGTATCACAGGGGGTGATAGGGACAGTACCCAAAGAGCAGGGCTCATGTCCTAGCATTTCACAGTCTAAAATCTTTGGACAGATACCATGCAGGCAATTCTTTATAGGGAGAAATAGGTATTCTTAGTAACATTTAGGCCTTGTGGCCTTAATCCTGGAAGGACTATAAACTTGAGAATAAATTCATGTATATATACACATATGCATTTATACACACACACACACATACATATATATGTATATATATATATATACACACACACGCGTCTACATATATGTGTGTGTATATATATACACAGACACATACGTATATATACACACACATATACATAACTATGTAATATATTTAGTAATGTATTGTTAAAATATATACATTATTTAAAATAATAAATAACATTATTATTATTATTTTAATCCTCACCCAAGAACATTTTTGCATTTATCTTCAGAGCAGAAGGGAGGGGGAGGGGAAGAGAGAGAGAGAAACATTAGCGTGAGAGAGACACATCAACTGGTTGCCACCCACATGACCCCAACTGGGGCCAGGGACAAGTTGCAACTGAGGTACATGCCCTCAGTGGGAACCGAACCCAGGACTTTCTGGTACGTGGGCCGACACTCTAACTGCTAAGCCAAATCGGTGAGGTCAATAATAAATAACATTAAAATAATATACATAATTTGTTTTCCTGAAATATATATAGAAACTAACATTCAGCAATCTTTTAAATATAAGTAACAGAAAACCCGACTTGAACTCACTTATACAAATAAAAAAACAAAAACAAATATGTTTTTGGTTCATGAACTGTGGGGAAAACCACCCAGATGTAGGTTTGGCTTTGGGAAACCAGAGGCACATCATGTCATTTGATTCTCCACAGTTCCCCTGGCACAGGCGTTCCCTGTAGACTGACCTGAACTTCCTGCTGCCTCCCTCATGATACAAAAAGTAACAGGTGAAGCCGTTGAAGACCACACATCCATCTCCAGGAGGACAGGGTGAGCATGCTGGCTGTCCCAGCTCTGACCGAGGTCACGCAGACGGCCCACTGCTGACCAGCCGCCATACTTGGCTGAATGGCTTTAAAGTAAGCAAGGTTTATCCCTGGAGGTGAGAGTTTACTCATTGCCAAGAAAAATCACATAGAAAGACATTCAAGATACTGTGAGGAAGGGAAAGGGGGTGGCGGGATATTGGGAGAAAATCAAATGTCAACAACAATGTTCAGCAATCATGTGAATCTGAAGATTGGTGTTTGAGGGTGTGTATCTATGGAAACACTAGCTCTGTGGTCATTTGAAAATGTCTGAAAGAGAATGCGCTGAGGTTCAAGAGATATTGATTACCCAAGTCTTTACATTTAGTCCAACTTCCTATTAACATTAGATTTTCTGTCTGGAAAAATAGTTCAGAGTATTTTCACATTGTTCATGAAATATATTTTATAGTGTATAAAGACCTCTTGCATTTGATCCTCCATTTGCTATCTACCACATCACTGAAGATCTATTTACAGGAATTCCTTTTATTCGGTACAGCATGTCTGGCTAACAAGAAAAAACTACCAGGCATACCAAAAGGCAAAAAAACACAATTTGAGGAGACAGAGCAAGCATAGAACCATACATGGCAGGGAAGTGGGAATTAAAAGACAACAGAACTCTCATGAAGGCTGGAGTAATTTACTGAGCCAAAAGTCAATGAGGAGTCATAGCCAAAAATCAATTCCAGAGGGATTAAGGACTTAGTTGTGAAAAGCGAAATGTTAAAACTTGAAGAAGAAAATATAAAACCTCTTTCTGACCTCCAAATGGGAAAGGAATTCTTAAGGCACAGAAGTGTTAATCAGAAAAGGAAAGACTGGTAAATTTTTCTACTGTCATATTAAGATCTGTTTATCAAAAGTACCAAAAAGAAAACAAAAGATATGCCAATATCTGATACAAGTTCGCAACACGTAAAATCAACGAAAGACCAGTATTCAGATTCTATAAAGAAATGTTACAAATCAGCAAGAAAAAGACAACCAAAAAGAAAAATGAGCAACAGATCTGACACATTGTCATAGAGAAGAAAAATACAAATGGTGAATGAACATATGAAAAGATGAACAACCTCATTTGTGATCAGGAAAGTGCAAATTAAACTGACAGTGAGAGTATAAACTGATATAAACACTGGGGAACAATTTAACCTTATCTTATGAATTTTATCAAGATGAATGTTCACATATCCTTTAATTGAGCAAATCCACTCCTACCGATATTCTCTAGAGAAACTCTTGTCTATTTGCACTGGGAGATGTACACAAAGTGTGTATAACAGCTTTATTCAAAACAGCAAAAAGCTATATTTAACACAAATATCCACCATCAGGAGAACAAATAAACTGAGTTACATTCATACAATAAAATATTGGGCAACAGGGAAAACCAATGAATCACAGCTGCAGGCAACAATGTAGGTGAACCTCAGAAACACAATGAATGGAAAAAAGCAAGCATCAGGTAACTACATACAAATGACGACATTTTTAAATAAATAAAGCTCAAGAACAGCAAAACCTACAAATGTTTTTGTTTCAGTAAAGCCATGTGTAATATGTTTTTTACAGTTCTATAATCGTTTAATCACATATTAAGATTCATGTAGCCACCACTGTAATGAAGATACAGAACTGTTTCTCGCCACACAGAACTCCTTCCTACCACTGTATAGTCATGCACACCCTTCCCCTCTGCCCCCATCCCTTATCCCTGGAAACTACTAAACTATTCTCCATCTTCATAATTTTGTCATTTCTATAATGTCAATCAATTGTATGTGACCTTTTGATATTGGTAGGTTTTTGTTTTTTGGTGTTTGCTGTCTTTTTATTCCATCTGAGTTGTTGCATTCCATCAATATTTTTTTCTTTTATTGCTGAATAGTCATGGCTTGAATGTGCCCAGTTTGTTTGACCTCTCATTGTAGGACATTTTAGTTGTTTGGGACTATTACAAGCAAAGCTTCTAGGAGAAATTGCATATAGGTTTTTGTGTGGATATGTTTTCATTTCTCTGGGATAAATCACAGGAGAGTGATGGATGAGAGATTCAGTTTTTGTGCATCCTTGTCAGCAAATGGCGTTATTGCTATTGTTGATTTTAGTTGTTCCAATGGGTGTGGAGAGATAGTGCATCCCAGTCTTCATTTGCACTTTTCTAATAGCTAGTGGTGTTAAATCGTTTTGTGTGCTCATTTGACATCTATATGTCCTTTTCAGTAGAATGTCTTTTATAGATTTTTGCTTATTCTCAAATAGAATTGTTTCTTTTTTAACTGTTGAGTTTTGAGTCTTTACACAGTGTTGATGTTATTAGTCCTTTGGCAGGTAGGTGTTTTGTAAATATTTTCTACCAGTCTATAGCTTATCTTTTCATCCTCTTCACAGAGTCCTTAGTAGAACAAACATTTTTAATTTGGATAAAGCCCACTTTATTAATTTAAAAAAAAAATTTTAGAGGGCATGCTTTTGGTGTCATTTTTAAAGAACTCTTTATGCAGCCATAGGTCCTGAAGATTTTCTCCTTTGTTTTCTTCTAAAAGTTTTATAGCTTTATGTTTCATATTTAGATCTATAATCCATTTTGAGTTGTACAAGTTATTTTTTTTGTTTTTGCCTATAGATACATAAATGTTCCAGCACCATTTGATGAAAAGAAAAAGTCTTCCCTTCATTGAATTGCTTTTAGTTGGTTGTCAAAAATCAGTTGGCTGTACTAATATGTGGCTATTTCCAGGTTCTCTATTTTGTTCCACTGATCTGTATGTCTATCCCTCTGCTGAGTCCAGCTAGTCTTAATTATGGTAGCTATATACTAAATCTTGAAATCAGGTACAGGGATTCCTCCCACTTCATTCTTCTCTTTCAAAATCATGTTAAACATTCTAGTTTCTTTCCCTTTTCATGTAAATTTTTACAATAATCTTGTCTATATCTACAGAACTCTTTGGAATTTTTATAATAATTACATTAAACCTGAATATCAATCAGAGGAGAATTTGATGTCTTTACTACGTCAAACCTTCTAATTTATGAACACAGTATGTCTCTCCATTTATTTAGATCTTCTTTGATTCCTTTCATAGGCATTTTACAGTTTTCAACATACAAATTCTGTATGTTTTGTTAAATTTACACATAAGTATTTCATGTTTCTTAGCAATTATAAGCAATATTATATAGTAACATCAATATCCATGTATACATTGTCTGTATATAGAAATACCTAGATTTTCCTATGTTTAGCTTATATTTTGCAAACTAGCTGGACTCACTTATTAGTTCTAGGAAGGTTTTTTTGTAGAGTCCCCTGGGTTTTCTAGTAAACCATCATGTCATCTGTAAAGAAAGCAGTTTTATTTCTACCTTTCTGATCTGTATGTCTTCTACTGTCTCTTCTCACTTTATTGCACTGTGTAGATTTTCTAGTACTGTGCTGAATGTGAGCGGTGAGGGAGGGCAGTCTTACTTTGCTCGCTATCTGATAGGAAAGGGATTCTGTCTTTCACTGTTCAGTATGCTGATAGATGCAGGTGTTTTGTAGATATTCTTCATCAATTTTAGGAAGTTTCTCTCTATTCATATGTTTCCAAGAGGTTTTTGTGGGTTGTTTGGTTTTTTTTAAAATCATGAATGAGTGTTGAATTTTGTTAAATGATTTTTCTGCTTCAATTAGTGCAATTGCAAATTTTTACACTTGTTTATATGGTGGATTATACTGACTGCTTTTCATATTGAATGAGCTTGGCATGCCTAGAAAAAAAAACTATTTTGTTATGGTACATAATTTTTTTTATATGTTGCTGAATGCCATTTGATAATATTTTGTTAAGGAATTT